TAAACATGCACACACAAATAAAAATACACACGAAAATTGCGCAATTAAATCCTAAAAATAAAATAATAAAGGGAAATCCTAAATCTAAGAATTCTGTAGGAGTAGTTCAAGCAAGGCAAAAATCACGTGCTCACAGCTGCCCCTCTTTGCTCGGAGACACGAAGGGTTTTCGGGCAAAGATAAATGAGCAATTATGAGAGATTTTTGCCTGCTTGGCATTCCAGGAGAAGCATTTTGAAAACCGTCTGACCGAACCCTGCTTCAGAGGTTGCCTACATATCCTTGGTTATAAAGGAATCAGGTCAGTGTAGTTCTGGAAGGTTTGGTAGATGGGACTACCAGGAGCTATGATTTCACTGCTGTTGCTGCTGCTACTGCTTGCTGACCTCCTTATTACACCAAAAGGAAAATCAAAGCTAAGCTAGTTATGCCTATCAACTATGAGTTATAAGATTAAATACAAGTCTCCTGGGGAAGTTGAGAGATTCAAAGCCAGACTTGTGACAAAAGGATATAACCAGAAAGAAGGGTTAGACTACCAAGGGACATTTTCACCTGTGGTAAAAATGGTGACTGTCAGGAGTGTGCTTTTCATAGCAGCTTCAAGGCATTGGACCATCCATCAAATGGATATGTACAATGCATTCTTGCAAGGTGATCTCTTTGAAGAAGTATATATGACTGTTCCCAGGGGTTTAGTGATTCCACTGATGAGTCCTTAGTGTGTAAACTGCTCAAGTCCCTCTATGGACTTAAGCAGGCTTCCAGACAGTGAAATATCTAATTAACAACAGCATTGCAGAATTCTGGTTTCACACAGAGCCACCTAGATTATTCCTTGTTCATCAAGCGAGTGGGAGAAAAGTTGGTGGTGGTTCTAGTCTATGTTGATGACTTGTTGATCACAGGTGATGACATATTGCTTATACAACAGACCAAGGATGATTTACAGTCTAGTTTTAAGATCAAAGACCTTGGTGAGCCCAAGTTTTTCTTAGGCATTGGATTTGCTAGGAGTGACTAGGGAATCTTGATGCATCAACGCAAATATGCTTTGGAGTTGATCTCTGATTTGGGATTAGCAGGGTCAAAGCCTGTCCACTCTCATATGGAGCTTAACCTCAAATTGACTACCACTGAGTTTGATGCTCATACAAACTCTGCTGGTGATTCTGTTCTTCCTGATCCTGGGCCATACCAACGATTGCTGGGGAAATTACTCTACTTAACTATCACTCGTCCTGACATTTCATTTGTTGTGCAGTGTTTGAGTTAATTCATGCATAAACCCAAGTCTTCTCATATGGAGGCTGCCATGAGGGTCGTGAGATATGTCAAGTCTTGTCCTGGTATGGGTGTATTATTAAGTGCTACCTGCTCAGACTCTGTTTTAGCCTTTTGGGATGCAGATTGGGCTGCTTACCCCAACACACGCAAGTCAGCCACAGGCTATTTTGTCAAGTTTGGTAGCTCTTTGATCTCTTGGAAGTCCAAGAAGCAATCTACCATCTCTCGCAGCTCAGTAGAGGCTGAGTATAGGAGTTTAGCATCTACTGTAGCTGAGGTGATTTGGATTCTTGGTCTGTTCAAGAAGTTGGGTATTCCTCATTCCTCTCCTATTCCCATCTATTGTGATAGTAATATTCAAATTGCATCCAATCCAGTTTTTCATGAACGTACGAAACACATTGATATTGACTGTCACTTCATTAGAGAAAAGGTTCAGCAAGGGCTGATCAGCACTGTCTATGTTCCTACTGCAGAACAAGAAGCTGACTTGCTAACCAAAGGCCTTGGGGGATCTCAACATGACTATTTGGTGTCCAAGCTAGGACTGAAGAACATCTTCAGTGGACCTAGCTTGAGGCGGGTGTAAAGGAAGTGTCCACGCAAGCAGTGCCTTAGTCATGTGTTCTTAACTTAACCATAGTTAGGCCATTATAACTGTAGTTAGTCCATTAGTTTAATACTTGTACAGCTGTATACACTAGTTAGTTAGTTACTGTAGCATGTTATGAATTGGCTTGTATGTAAATTCAAACGAAGACTTGAATAGATGATTTTTTTGTATTTATTATGATGAATTTACTTTATACTTATTTAGTAGTATTAAATTATCTTTAGTATAGTATGCATTCCAAATTTGAATAATATATTCTCAGAAAGAGGAATCTTAAAGATGATCATTTTACTTGGAAATATGGGAATTTAAACAGATGATATTTTTCTTTACTTTTTTTTTGTGCGTGTTTTTGTCATGATGGTGATTTGCGTGAT